ACAACATGCTAGGAAAACCGCCAATGAAGCCATCTAAGAAAACAGCTAAAAGCGCTTCAGGTGGTGTGTTAAAACTGGTTGGTGAGATGCAGTGTGAATTTTCCTTCAACGGAAAAAAATGTACAGGAATATGCTATCTGACAGAACGGCCAAACCTTGATCTTCTTGGTCTAGATATGCTAGAAAAGCTGGGAATAATGGATTTACCCATTAACAGTGTCTGCAGCGTATCGTGTTCATCAGTGGACACCCCGATACTTAAAAAGAAGACAGGTGAAAGATTACGTGAAAAACTGAAGGAAAAGTTTGCCTCTGTTTTTCAGAATAACCTTGGCCTCTGTACCAAGATGAAAGCTCACTTACCATTTAAATCAGATGCGAAACCTATTTTTCGTCCGAGACGTCCTGTACCATATGCCACTCTTGAGCTAGTCGATCAAGAACTTAATCGCTTACAACAGGCTGGGGTAATCCAACCAGTCAGCTACTCTTCATGGGCCGCACCGATCGTAGTGATTAAGAAAGCTAATGGAACTATACGCATTTGTGCCGATTTCTCAACTGGTTTAAATGCTGCATTGGATGTGTATCAGTATCCGTTACCAGTTCCTGAAGATCTGTTTGCCAAGCTTAATGGTGGTACATGTTTCGCGAAAATAGACTTCTCCGATGCCTATCTACAAGTAGAAGTAGATGAAGATAGTAGAGAGCTCCTGACTATTAACACCCATCGAGGTCTATTTCAATACACTCGTCTACCATTTGGCATCAAGACCGCACCGGCTATCTTTCAGCAAATAATGGATACGATGCTAACAGGTATACCTGGGACAGCAGCTTATCTAGATGATATCATAGTTATGGGTTCAAGTGACAGTGAACTGTCAGATCGACTACATCAAGTCCGTAACCGAGTGTTGGAGTATGGTTTCCAACTACGTGAAGAAAAATGTATCTTCTTCAAGCATTCGATCAAATACCTTGGTTTCATCTTAGATAAGAACGGTCGCCGACCAGACCCAGCCAACATCGAAGCCATTCAGAAGATGCCTGCACCAACTGATGTCTCTTCATTAAGATCTTTCTTGG